GAAGCCTGGAGTTCTTGTGTGGTTTATACTCGAGATTTTGATTAAAAGACACAATGAAAATCCCAGGAGAACACAGTTCATGCCAAGGTTTTGAAATGAACATATTGAAAATAGATTGGGAAGATTATCAAGATGCATTTGGCCATCTGATCTTTTTTCAATATGTGACCATGAACCATCTTTTCTTTCTGATCTATGGAACAAACAATCTTCATGAATGTAAAAAACAGAAAATTTCTAAGCAATTGCCACATCTGTTTTCCACTCAAAGTTACACCCCTTCTCTGAATTTGGAAGCTGTTTCAGTCTCAAGGTGGGGAAAAATTTAGTCCAATTCCCTGATATGATATGCAAGGAAAGTAAGGTACACAGCCTCCTTTTTAATCACCCCTACTGATTCTTCCAGACCTGCCCTTGCTGAGGCCTTGGCTTCCTTCCACTGTAATAAAATGGGTCCCTTTACTACATACAAATTTCTATGCATTTTCCTTGGAAGAACTTAATGTAACTTTTGCTTATATAATTGAAATCCTTGACTTTCTGAATTAGTGTTCTGTAGAAAGAAGTCTGATCAGCTTTATGCTCTTGATAGCATGTGCCAAGAGTATATAAAAATATATATAAGAAATGTATACATAATTTCCTAATACCTAATACTAATAAATAGCTAATTAATTGGTGTTTTGGAAGCATGCAGTGGCATGCATATGTGTTATTACATCTATACATTAGAGGGTAAAATTTCACAGATATCAGACAGCACACATGTTATACTATGATATCTAACTACTCTTGATGTAACTGAGTTGTGTCCCATCACATTTGAAGGTACACAGGAAATAGAGACTGGAGCAAAATAGGTGAAATGTTTGTTGTAGTTGTGACCAGGGAGGCTTCACGCTCTAGGGGTATAGGTTGAGTCAACATCTGATCATTACAAATTACAAGCCAAATGCACAAAATAACTGAAAGAATGGGGCTACGGTGTCTTGTCCTGCAGTGTGGAAAAAGCAGACATACTGGGCATTTTAATAAGGACATGTGCTCCCAGGAATAGTGTAGTAAATCAGGTGACCAAGTTGGCATTGTCACTCAGGTACAACCACAGGTCACTTTCCCTTTTGGCCAATAGCAGTGGTTCTGAACCTTCTTAATGCTGCGGCCATTTAATGCCATTCCTCATGTTGTGATATCCCTCACTTATAAAATTATTTTGTTGCTACCTTATGACAGTTATGAATCATAATGTAGATATCTGTGTTTTCCAATGGTCTAGGTGATCCCTATGAAAGGGTTGTTGGACTTCCAAGGAGACATGACCTACAAGTTGAGAACAACTGTCTTGTAGGGAAGCTTGACTCCTGGTACTGGCATAGAACTCAGACAGTATCTTAAAAGGAAAATAAGATGGGATGGTTTTCATTCATTTTGCCCCATTCAGGTAAGCAGAGATGTTTCCAGCATGTAAACTAAAGTGTTTACTGAATTTTGGAACATAATTGTTCTGCCTTCCCCTCTCCCACGCTGTGATCCTACAAAGAAGAATGAACACTTATGCGAGTGTGAGAAAGAAATGTGAAATGGCCTGATATCTTAAAACTTTCAGAACAAGAACGATAAAGACAAGAATGTGAACAAAAGTGTCTTCTCTACAGGAGATCAACATTAGAAAGAGTGCATCCCCAAAATATTCAATAAAATACTGGCAAATCGAATCCAAGAACACATCAAAACAATCAATCAACACAATCAAGGAGATTTCATCCCAGGGATGAAGGGATGGGTCAACACATGAAAAACCATCAATGTAATCCACCATATAAACAAGCTAAGAAAAAAAATCACATGATCATCTCACTAGATGCTAAAAAGCCTTTGACAAAATCCAACACCCCACCATGACAAAGGGCTTGGAAAGATCTGGGGTAACAGGAGCATACCTAAACATAATAAAAGCTATACACAGCAAACCAACAGCCAACATCAAACTAAATGGACAGAAACTCAACCCAATTCTGCAAAAAGCAGGAACAAGACAAGGCTGTACACTCTCTCCATACCTTTTCAATATTGTACTTGAAGTTCTAGCCAGAGCCATACAACAACAAAAGGAGATCAAGGGGATACAAATTGGAAAGGAAGAGGTCAAACTTTCACTATTTGCAGATGATATGATAGTTTACATAAGTGATGCAAAAAAAAGCTCTACCAAAGAACTCTTACAGCTGATAAATACTTTCAGCAGAGTGGCAGGATATAAGATCAACTGAAGAAAATCAGTAGCCCTACTATATACAGATGATAAAAGGGCTGAGAAAGAAATCAGAGAAACATTACCCTTTACAATTGCCACAAACAACGTAAAATACCTTGGGGTAATGCTAACCAAACAAGTGAAAGACCTGCATTGCAAAACTTTGAATCTTTAAAGAAAGAGATTAAAGAAGACATCAGAAAATGGAAAGATCTCCCATGCTCTTGGATAGGTAGGATCAATGTAATAAAAATGGCAATCCTGCCAAAAGCAATCTACAGATTCAGTGAAATCCCCATTAAAATACGAGCACAATTCTTCATAGACCTTGAAAGAACAATAATCAACTTTGTATGGAAAACAAAAGACCCGGGTAGCCAAAACAACCTTATTCAACAAAGCAACATCTGGAGGCATCACCATCCCTGGCTTCAAGCTCTATTATAGAGCTGTAGTCCTGAAAACAGCTTGGTATTGGCACAAAAATAGGCAGGTAGACGAATGGAATCGAATTGAACACTTTATATTTCATTTGGAACTATGTCTCTACAGGTCATTTGTCCACTTTTAAAATTTAGTTGTTTGTCTTTATGTATATCAGATAATTCAAATGAATCCTTGTCACATGTATTGGTTGCAAATACTTTCTACAACACCTCATGGTGCTTCAATTCTATCATTTTCCCCCTTTGACTGGAAGATGGTTTTCTGTCTTATGTAGCTCTTGTTGCTTATTTTCACTTGTTGTCTGAGTGTTTGGTGTGCAATCCAAAGCACTCATGTTCAGAAATGCCTCCCTTGAGTTTTCGTCTAAAGATTTATTATGTCAGAGCTGACGTTGGGCTGTTGTCTTGGGTAGAGTCCAGTTTATTTCACATGGACCTTCAGTTCTCCCAAAGTCATGACTCTTCCTCTTCCTTGTGTGATCATAGTGTATTTTTCAGAGACCTGTTACATGTGTATGCTTGAGATGTTTGTGTGCTCTCTCCTACACCGCTCTATTGTTTTTCCAGGACTGACCCATTTTACCCAGCACCATTTGGTAATATAACTAGAAGTTACCAGGGGCCAAAAAATGCTGGAAAGATATGAGTCAAAAGTAAAAAGTTGTCATTATGTTTAAGAGTCAATCTTGGGATCACAGGAACAGTGTGATGGCTATAGTTAATAATTTTGTACTACAAAATGAGTATTTGCTTAAAAAATAGGCTTGGGGTGCTTATTTGTGCAAATATACAAACATGTTTCTCAAAAATGCCTCTGTGAAGGAGCTGGAGTATACACTTCTTGGCTATTCACAGTACATATAAACACATCATGTTTTAGACTCTGAATGTGTCTAATATTTGTAAATATGCCATGCCAAAGCTTTCTTGATTCTTCAGTCTTCTGGTCTACCTTAGAGTCTTTAAATTTAGTGAGCTTCCCAATCCCAAGAGCACTTCAAATCTTAATATCTCCATCTCTACTCTTTATGAGATGCCTTGGCACTTATATCTATTTAATACATCATTTCACTTGTAATTAGAGGCAGATCCAGGGTTCATCAGTCTTGAAGATAACTATGGGGGCCTTCCTAAGAAAATGGATATGACACAGTGCCACAGAATTAGATGCAGACTGAAGGAGGAATGGGCAAAGGAGGCAGTAGAACCAATTCCTTCACTACTGCCTGCAAGGAACAAAGCACCTGTCAGCTGGATAGTGTTTTCCTCCTCTCAGCCAAATGACTTGTCTCATGTTTCTGGCTCCAGATGTAGTAGAAAAGTTCCAGAATAGATTACAATTTGTGGTAGAGGATGAAGGCACTTTATGGAAGTATGTGAAGTAACTTTCATATGGGAAGCTTCTAGATTTGGTTTAATGTGATCTCAAGATACCCATAATTTTCAGTTAGTTAGACATGTCTATTTTAAGTTCCCAATGCAACAAATGGGCTTTGGATGCCCATTCCTTAAGGAGGGATATTCTTTCAGCCTAGATACACAGGCGAGGATCTAGGTGCTGCTGCAAATGATGTGTCAGACTTTAATGATCCCCCATGGGAGGACTCATCCTCTCTGAGGAGTGGATGCAGGATAGGATTGGGGGTTGATGGGGGTAATGGTAGGATGGAAAGGAGAGGGAACTGAGATTGGTACGTAGAATAAGATTGTTTTTAAATTTGAATAAAAATTAATTTAAACAAGAAGTATAAGAAGTATAATAATGTCAGAAACTACACATGTAAACATGACGACCTAAACACAAGCTGAACCACAATGACAACAATAGACAATGCCAAAGTGGACAAAGAAAAGCCCACAAGGCCTCAGCCTGACACACAGGATGATAAGCCTCGAAGGAATGCTGAGTGGAAGAAGTAGTCTTCGCCAAGAAAGAATACTCAATTTGGTTTTTGCATATCAAATGGTCAGCCCTTCCAACATGTATACAAGTAGCATTGTAGAGATGAGAAGGTTGTATGAAGGAATATGTATGCATAGACATGTAATATGTATTCATTTAATAATAATTGGGTAAGAAGACATGAGTTTCAAAGAAAGAAAGGAGGGGTATATGGGAGGCTTTTGGGGGAGGAAACAGAAGGGAGAGAAATAATTGTTTTGTAATCTCAAAAAAGCAATAAAAAATTTCAAAACCTAAAAAAAAAGACACATGTTCCTGCTGGACAGTGCACCATTGTATACTCTGACCCAGAACAGACAGTAGAGAAACAGCACAGAGAGCATTGCACCATGACACTGTTTACTAGGACAAATTCATCATACATAGTACTGATGAGTGATGTCTACATGAACCACATGGTGATGAGTGTTCCAAAAGAAGTGGGGATTGGGAGATGATTCAGTCAGGAAAGCACCTGATTTATGAGCACACATACCTCAGTTAGTTTCCCTGAGCTTACATAAACTTGGGAAAGACGGTCCCAGCACGGAAGAGCCAGAGACAGGAAGATCCCCGGCACTCAACGTCAATGCAGTTCAGCCGACTTCAAGAGTTCCAGACCAGTGAGAGATCTTGTCCCAAAAAACAATGTGGTTGGCTCCTGAGGGACAACAGCTAAGGTTAGTTTTTCTCTGGATTCCAAGTATGTGAATGTATTTGTACTTATGTGTACACACTCAAAACAATTATGACAAAAACAAACAAACAAAAAGCAGACACATGAAATAGAATCAAAATGGGCAGTAGATTTCCTTTTCTCTAGTTTTGTTGCCAAGAAAATGTTCTATTCCATCTTCAAGATATTTGGATTTGCAAAACCATAGTACTCACAAGGAGCTTTGAAGTTAGATGGTTTTCTTTGCTTACTTCACATTTTAAAACAAAGTGTCATACATAGGAACTAAATAGCCATTGTATCCTCTCCTTAGGTGCATTTACCTATGCCTTAATAATTACTCCACCGTATGGAGATGAATAGAATAGCACCTGAATGAATACAGATGTGATCACACATGTGTCTGTCATTGCTTCTCTTCCTTCTTTGATATAAGTCACAAGTACTTCTATTCTTGCACCAGTGAAATAGCAGCAAGCACGCACATTCTCTGTATTTTATGATGAAGGTGAAGTGAACATATTAATTCCTTCAGAAATTCAGAAGACATCACTGGGCAATGCAATTGACTGTTGGTGACCATATAAGTAGTGCTCAGACTTGACATATTTCTTTATCTGGAATTTACCTATAGACACTGAAGACATGGTATCTTGAAGATAAAATATGCCATCAGAATATCCCCATATCCATTTTTAGCAGCATAGAACCACTTCTCTTTAATTTCTGCTGAGATCTATAGGCGTAGGTGGAATGACCACCAAGGGTTATGAAGAAATCAGCATGCACTTGTGAAACTTACTTTTTTAACATGAAAGGTGGATGTTTCATACTCTGTGGGAAAGAAGAGGATAATGTAGGTGTGAGAAATAGAATTACATCAAAGTGTGTGACCTACAACATCTAAAGGATCTCTGTCTTTGAGTTTGGCTCTGACTTCATGTTCAAGGCAGAATTGCTTGCAACTTCTGCCTACCCTAGACTCTACAGGGAGACAGATATGGGTCTTACCTACCTCTCTGAGGTTTGGGATTCTAGTATCCAGAGAACTCTACTGGGAAAAAAGACATTGACCAAATTAAATGTCATTAAGAATCAAAAGTTCAAACTCTAAGCAGGTAACCTTGGTTTGATTCCCTGGCTTCTCATTTACTTGCTGTGTGATGTGTGTATAAAGGATGCATTTTCTTCTTCTGTGATATAGTACTAATTTTCTCACTGTTACCCACCTGGATATTGTACATAAAGCTTTTGTGTGTGCTGGAAAGTAGCCTCCATACTGGAATCCTTCTGCCTTGTGCATTCCTTCTGGAAACACCCCCTCCACGTGTCTTGACAGGCCTATTGTGTGGGTATAGTACAATCTCACTATCTGGCCATGGTTGGTGGTACAAGGATGGACACCTGATTGGTCCTCTTCTGAGACTTTTGGGACTACAGTTGAAGAAGGCAACTCTCTTTGAGTAAATTCTAGTCAAAGATGCAAAACACAGAAGCAAACTCTTGAGAGAACAGGATCATCTTATCCTGGGAATATAAAGTTAGTGTTCCGTGGGAGAAAAGGATGATGTCTACTTGCACAAGGATGTGAACAGGAGAAACAGTGATGTTCAGATTGTCTTTGGATGTCTACTTTTCTTTTGTGTGGACTTGACCACAACCCTGAATTTCTTAGGCCTTTACATTCTACATTGCTTTTTAATAACCTCTCTCTCCTCTTCTCTCCCTTCAGCTGATTGACTTCCATGGATCCTTTCAGGTCAGCCTGTCAGCAAACAAGATTCAGGACACTTTCCTTGACTCCGAGGCCTAGGCAAATAAATGTCCCTCTTCCACTCTTCATAGTGTCTGTCTTTCCTTCCTTTGTAAACCAGGAATCCTTTTTTAAAATGCACTACTAGCTTTTAAACTAACTAAAGGCAGAAGGGGTCCATTTTCTGCCTGTGTCTCACACCAGACACAGCCTATAGCTAAATTCAAGTCATGTACGTATGCAAAGATACATATAATTTTAATTAAATTATCAAAAGGTGTATTTAGAAGAGGAAAGGATGGGCGTTCCCCATGTTCCCCAAATGAAACAATGGAGTAAGCCACCCGATCCTCGTATACAATTTGCCTTTCCTAAGCTCAGTGGTCCTGTCCTATAGCAATACAATGAAACATACCATTCTTTGGCTAAGTCTCTCAGTCCGACCCCTCCCAGCTCCCAGCAGTAGTACCTCTGTTCTAACTTAGGAGTGAGATGTAAGAGAAAAAGTGAACTAGAAACAATTTAGACACTGGGGAATCACATGCCTGCTATGCCATGTGAAAAATAGTAACTTTTGTCAAAATCCTGGCATTCAGTTCACTCAGCCTGTCCTTGAACTCACCAGGAGTAAGTATAATATTTTTACTGCTTTACCTCAGAACTTAAATATTTTCTAGTTTTTGTATGCCATTCTTTATACCTAAGAAATATACACACAAAGGGGTATGCATGCAAGAGTATGTATATTTTAAATGAAATAATTTTATCTAAAATAATAACAATATTGCTAAGGTTCTTAAAATCAAGTGAATTGGAAAGAAAATAGAAACTGTAATATTTAAGAAGATACATTTTGATGAATTTATTTTAAAATAGATAAAATTGCATGCATTTTAAAAGATTATTCTGTTTTATATGGATGGATATTTGTTGCATTTATGTCTGTGTACAACATGTGTGTGCACAGAAGAAGGAGTGGAACTCCCCTGGGACTGAACTCATAGATGGTTGTGAGCCACCACGTGAGAGCTGGCAACTGACCTGGATCTTCCTCAAGACAAACAAGTTCTCTTAATCCCTGAGTTTTTAAGACAGGATCTCTCCCTGGACCTGGAGTTCACTGGTGGCTAGACTGTTTGTTCTACTATACCAGGATTTTATTGGAGTGCTGGGAATCTGAACATCAGCTTTACATATTGCTATGTACATTATACGCAATAAGTTCATAACCAACTGATACATCTCCCAGCCATTCTAGTTGGTGTGAGTTCAATTTTCATTTATTTGATAATTTTTGTGCTTGTTTTTGTATGCCTATTATCCATTTGTAAACTCTGTCTTTATATGTCCAATTAAACTCTGTTTCTCACTTGATTTCTCACCATTGTGCTGTTTGAGCTTCTTGTGGCCATCAGTTACTTGCTTAAAAATTTAGGAGTTAATTGCTGTCAGGTGCAATGTTTAAAAATGTTCCCCCTCCCATATATTGTCTTTTTTCTCTGTCAGTTTCTTCCTTGACTGCATAGATGCTTTCAGTATGATGTAATCCATCTACCTGTGTGTGCTTTGTGACATGTGAGGATTAGAACCTCTACCAATGACACAGACTTTTCTGTTTTCTACAATTTTTTCAAGACTTATTTAAAGTCTTTAAAACATGTTGGGTTGAATTTCACATATAATGTGAGACACTGGCCTGATTTTGGGTGTTGTGTGTGAATATATAGTTTTTTATCGCACCATTCATCAAAGCGACTTTCTTTTTCTTATTCTAAGTCTTGGCATATTTGTTGAAATTCAATTGACCATTAATTCATGAACTTTCTATTCTTGGCCTCTTTTCCTTGTTATGTCCTCTTTGATGTCTATGGCTTCATGGCAGATTGAGAAGTAATGCAATGCATTGCCTCTAGCTTTATTCTTTTTGCTTTGCATGGCCTTGACTATTCAGGATCTTTTATATCTCCGCATACAATTGAGAAATTAGTATCTTTTTATTTCCGAGGCAAATGATTTTCAGATTACAATAGACTTGCATTGAATTTGTAAGTTGCTTTGCGTGGTGTAGATGTGTCCATAATGTTACTTCTAATCCCCGTACATGAGACATAATTCTTCATTTCTATGCATCTTCTTCAACTTATTTCATTACAAATTTACTATTAGAGTATAGTTCTTCAGTTTTTCTAAGTGTTAACTATGGTGAGTAGGATTATTTTATTGGTTTCTTTCAGGGATGGGTTATTTGTATGTATTCATAAAATGCTAGCTCTTGTATGTAGACTCTATTAGGAAATTTTCTTGAGTTTATTTTCATGGAGCTGTTGGGGCTACTACTTAAAGCTATGTCACCTATAAACAAATGGTTCAGGTTCCTTCCCTGGCTATTTAGGCAGTTTTTACTTCTTCACTCTGTTAAGTAGAAGTGAGGACAATGAGCATCTGTGTTGCAATGCTGATCTTGGAGTGCTTTCCATTTTAAACTTTCATTTAGATGCTAAAAATGGCCTAACAGTAGCCAAATTTTATTGCTCTTTCTTCTGTGCTCAGTTTTACCTAGGTTATATTTTTCTTTTTGTCACAAACAAATGTTGAGTTTTATATGCCTTTTATAATCTATTCATATAAGCAATTGTTGGCTTTCTTCCTGTGATCTTAAAAGTATTGAACCATACATACATATATATATATATATATATTCATCAGGGATACTGACTGTTCTTGTACTGTCCTCATTCAGCTTTTATATAAGGGTAATAATATCAGCCTCAATTAATATCTTTATCCATATTATCTCTTCAAATCTTTGGAAGAGGTTAAGAAGGGTATATGTTATTCTTTAAATATTAGGTATCACATAGCACAAGAAACATCTGACACTGCCTTTTCTAGATGGAGTAATTTTTACACAACTGACGTCTCTTCACTCATTATTGATATTTTCATTTTTATTTACTTTTAATAGATCATAATTGACTCTGTGGGGGGACCATTTTTGTATTTCTTCTAGGTTACCCATTTAGCAAGAACTTCTTTCTAGTATTTTCTCATAATTCTTTGTATTACATTTTCTTTTTCATATTTCATTTTGAGTCTTTTAAACTTAATTTTTTTCTTTGTTAGGATGTCTAAACTTGTTGGTTTATTGCTTTCAAAACACAATTCTTAGTTTTATTGACCTTTTCTGTTGTTTTCCTGGCCTTTATTTTGTTCATTTCTGGCATCCTCTTTACTCTTTCTGCCTTTCTAGTACTTTTTGACTTAGTTTTCCTCCTTTTTCTAGTTCTTTGAGCCAAAACGAGAAATTGTCTATTTGTAAGTTTACTCGTTTAGGATGAAGAATAAATATCCCTCTCAGAATTGCTCCAAGTGTGACATGTTAGCATCGTCTGTATCTATTCTGTCTTTAAAATATTCCTGTCTCCTCTTGTGTGCTTCTGCTCTGTGTCCATACAATTACAGATTTTTTGAAGTTGCATTCCTGATTTCTTGTTTCCTCTAATTGCAGCCAGGGAAAGATGACATAATTTAAATCTTTCTAACTGTAATGCTTGTGTTCTTACTCATGATCTAACTTAGAAAGTGGTTAGTGTGTTTTGTAGGAGGGTGTGTGTTCTACTGCTGTTGAATGGTGTCATATGTGTATGTCTCTTGGTCTCTGGTATGAAGGCTATGTTAAGGCTAATGTTTCCTTATTGATTTTCTGTCTGGGTGATTTGTCCATAGATAGAAACAGGGTAAGCAGAGACTGACTACCTACCTACATACCTATCTATCTATCTATCTATCTATCTATCTATCTATCTATCTATCTCCTCATTTGTTTCATATGTTAGGCACTCCAATGTAGTGTACACATATATTTGTAGTAGTTCCATCTTGAGGAAAGATTGACCTCTTTATTCCAGAATGGTCTTCTTCATCTCCATTTTCCTATATTTGTGTACAGTATGTTTAATCTGAAAGTCTTTATTCTCTTTTTGTTTCCACTTGTATGGAAATATCGTTCCCATCTTTTCACTTTCACTAGTGTCTTTCTAGAGGCGAAGTGTGTCTCTATAGGCAACATATCAGGTGCTGCATATTAATACATTCATTCACTTCATGCTTTCTGTTAAGAATTGAATCCATCTGCATGTGAATCAATTTTTGATGAATGATGACTTACCACCGCTGACTGTTACCTGTTTTCGGCTTGTTTGTAGATGCTTTCTGTGTTTTGTCCACTCATGTCTGTCTATCTTTGGATTGTATGTTTTGTCTAGCAATATGCTTTGATTCCTTGCTTTCTTTTATGTATCCTCTGTAGCTTTTGCTCTTCCACAAGACTTACACAAAACATGATGCTGTGGTATCGTTCTCTTTACTCCAAAGATACCTTGACCACGATCACATTACAAAATACAGCATTTTGTTCCCACTTTGCTGTTTCCCTTTCATGCTTTTGATTTTGCAATTTATAGACACCTGTCCTGTGTACTGATAAGCAACTAAAATGCCTTTTAATGTTTTGAAGAGTGTTGTCTTTCACAGTCTATATGAAGCATATAAATGATTTATATATTCCACCATTGGAATATTGGGAATTTGACACATAATTACTTTTACACATGAGTTCTTTTACTTTAAGACAATTAATTTTTAATGAAAATAGTATGTACCTAATTAGATTTTTCTCCCTAGAAAATTCCTCTAGCAGAGGTATACTCTTTGGAATCTATGCTTTTAGAAAATGAGTCAGTGGATATGGGGCTTTTGTACGTATGTATTTTGTTTGGTCCACCTCACCTCTCAGCTGGATGGAAAAGAGAACGTATCTTTTTGTCTGGAGGCCATGCTGAAATGCTTTTGAATTATGAGATTTCTGGTAAAAAAAAAAGTGCCAGTTTTAGACATGACACTGTTCTGAAGCTGTGAGCCTGTCACTATCCTCATTAAAAAAATATCCTGAAAAAAATCAAATCATCATGCAGCTTTGGATCAGAAATTTTCAAACAGCTGCTGAGCAGCGAGGGGTCTACTTTGTGACCAACAGCTACCCAAGTTGCTCTTTGAAAGCATTGTCTCCTTGGCAAATGGAAGGAAAGCATAAGAGCTCTTCAGCACTGCACAGACACAGCAAACAAGGGTGTTCAGGGAGGATGCTTTTAGGGCAGTGCAGAGAGGCTCGGGAACACTGGGATATCGCCTTTCCTAGTGGGGAGCTGGGAGAATGGAAAACCGCAGAAGCCCAGAGAATTAGCATAGCTGAACCAAAGCCAGGTGACTGGAAATTGAATTTGATCAAGGAAACCTATCCCTCAGTCTCAGTGGGTTGTATTTCCTACAGAAAGAGTTTTAGATCCTCAAGCTTGCAGGATTTGAAATCTTGCCCACACTCTATCCTCCACTACTCTCCACTTCCTTTCGTAAAGATAAAATTTCTAGTTTTAAACTTTGATGCATTCAGAGAATCTGTTTAAGTGTAGTTTTTCATTTGCTGAGTCTAACAAGGAAATGGTTAGTTGTTTTTTTTTTAATGCAATTTATCACAAAGGTGTTAACTACAAGGGATAAATTGAATGGATGTTTGTATTTATTACCATGAAGATGGAAAGAGTTACTTGGAAATAAGCTGCAAACCTGCTCCCCAATCAACAGCAAGTGAAAATCAATAATTCATCTTCCTGTGTCTTCCTGCCCTTGGCTGGCAATGCAGACAAAATTAACAGCAAGCCTGACAGCTGAAAGGAATGATTCCACTGTACTGTGTTCCCTGGGGCGGGCAGGGGACACCATTTCCATCCCAGCAGCACAGTCTCCCCATTTATCAAACACTTTACTCTGGGAATGAATGACTCACACATTGTTTCTGACTTAGCTTAATCTATAATCTGGGCAGCTACTATTGGGATATAGCCTAAATTACACAGTTTCTTTTTGCAAGAGTAGGTAGTCACTTAAATAAAATATATGTGTACCAAGATTCAACAAAACCCACCCAGAGAAAAAGACCAATAGTGAACTGTGAGAACGAAGTATCAATATTTTGCAAGGCCCATGGGTCATGGAAGAGGAGTGACCACTGAGTATCATAACTAGACGTCATTTTGTTGTTGGGAACTGGATACTGTAGAAACACTTTTAGCAAGGCTAGAAATGCAGTCTCACAAGTATTCAAGGAAGGTAATGAGATGTGTGGGGCTGGAGAGGGGGCTCAGTGGCTAAGAGCACTTGATGCTCTTGTAGAGGACCCAGGTTCAGATCTCAGCACCTAGTTGGTGTCTCACAACTATCTGTAGCTACAGAGTCCAACACCCTCTGAGGCCTCTGAGGTCACACACAGATATAAGTAAATAATAAGATCCTTTTTTAAAAAAAGAAATGACTATGATGTGTAGGTATTCTTTACAGTGAAGTGCTGTTATATAAACATGTAAAATTATTTTGCCACACGGTCCCCCGGAGAAGAATGGGCCTCCTACCCAAAATTTGGTTCAGATACTCAGACTGATAGCACTAT